ATCAGGGCTTATTTTCAGGGGATGTTTTATTTTTTATTTTTCATGTACAACAATCTACATTTAGTCAAATACAGTCATGCCATTTTCTTCTGGTTGCTGCACAATGGTGGAGGGCGGGCTTTCACTTAACTGGGGCTTATTTTGGGGGTAGGACTTATATTACAAGCATCCTGAAAATTCATACGACTAGGGCTTATTTTCAGGTTAGGTCTTATTTTCGGGGAAACAAGGTATTTCAGATAATTTTTTATGATAACTAGGAAGTAACATTCTTTGCCATTTCTCCTCAACAGAAAGTGTATTCCTAACTACCACCCGCCACCCAGCTGGTTTCGCTGGTTTGGTTTCAACAGCCGGCAGCGTTCATTCCTCTCATTCCATTGCTTTCTGTGCAGTTTTTTTGCAGGCAGCTTTACAACAACATGTCTGCTGTCTGCAGACCAGCTGGGAGCAAGCCACCTCACAAGGGCAACATTTACCCATGAATTGGGAGAGAGTCATAAGGGCTTGTCTACATATAGGTTCAGCTGGAGTGGGCCAAATAGGGTTGCTTGATATCAGGGAGAGGCCCAATAGGCCATATGATCCTTGGGTTCAAATGGCATACTCGCTTCGAGCACCTCTATTTGAGCCTGCTCCTTTGAAAACTGAGGCTTGCAAGGGCTGCTGGTGACAGGCGGGTATTACACTGGCACAGCTAGCCCAGCTAAGCTTAAGGAGACAGGAAGCAGCCCAGCAGGGGGAGATCAGGCCTACCTCCCTCAACCACTCCCTTCTGGGCTGGAAGATGGTGAGCTGTCCTAGGCTGCTGATGGTTGAGCTGGGCCTGACTGAACTCAGCTGCTTTCCTTTGTAGCATCATTTGTGCCTCCGCCCACATAAAGCTGCACCCCAAGGTGGGCTGAGGTGAGGTGAAGGTCACACCTGTGAGGAAATGATGACATTCCCCCCCAAAGACCTGTTTCAGCAGAATTCTACCCCACTGTATTTCTATGGGTTTTACTCCTGTTAGCAGCCCAGCTAAAACAGAGCCATAACAAGGCCAGATCAAAGCTGGTATCCCACTCGCTCTCTTTCACTTTGAGCGGAAGCCTCACTGCCCACAGTGAGGGCTTCCTCATGAGTCATTGTGTCCGAAGTCAAGCTCCGTCCTTGCCACTTCCTGTTCCCTCCTCCCTTTTTTTGTTTCATTGGATTTTGGGTGCTCTTCTGGGAGGAAGACTCAATTTTTTAAAAAAAAAATTATCCAAATAATGCAGTGCATCAAAGCTGCCTGAACTGGTTAAATTTTTTTTTTTTTGCTTCCTCCCTTTGCTTCATGGGAGAGCAGAGGAAGGAAATTTTGAATTTCCCTATTGAATTTCCCAGTTTCCCCATATCATTAAGTAGTTAAGATGTCTGTTTAACCCACTAATGACATGGTGATACCCTGTTTCCCTAAAAATAAACCCTAGTATGATTTTTCACATCCACCAATGACATGGTGATACCCTGTTTCCCAAAAAATAAACCCTAGTATGATTTTTCAGGATGCTCATAATATAAGCCTTACCACCAAAATAAGCCCCAGTTAAGTGAAACCCCGCTTTCCACCATTGTGCAGCAACCAGAAGAAGATGACATGACTGTATTTGAATAAATGTAGATTGTTGTACATGAAAAAGATAAAACACCACCTGAAAATAAGCCCTGATGCGTTTTTTGGAGCAAAAATTAATATAAGACCCTGTCTTATTTTTGGGAAAACACTGTATTGAAACCAGCTGGGAAATTAAACCAGGAAGCTCACTTTGGTTCAACCTCAGTGATCACACATGTTGGAAATGAATGAAAATTGAGTGATCCTACCTTTACCAAAAAAAGTAGTAGCCCCTGACAGGGATCCAGAAATGTTGCGGCAGGAATGCTCTGAGGAAAGGCTGGCTTGATCTAGCAATTATCATATTTTTCTGTGTATAAGACACCCCCATGTATAAGACACCCCCACGCACTTTTCTAATCCAAAATTAAGAAATCTAAGTGGGGCTTAGCAAGTGTAGGGGGAAAGGGATAAAAGCGCTGCAGAATCACTTTGATCCCTGCTTTCCCCTCCACTTGTTTTTGTTCTCTCCTCAGGTTACTTCTGTGTATAAGACAACCCTCAATTTTTAGTCTAAAGATTATAGACAAAAGTATAGTCTTATACACGGAAAAATATGGTATGTCATCTAATCACTGGAAAAAGAAGTGAACCAGTCCATTCCGTCATCTAATAACTGGAAAAAGAAGTGAACCAGTCCATTCCTGCAGTGGACAAAATAATAAATGTTCTCCTTATTGCACCTGATTGTATCTTTTAATCTGAGCCAGCTGATTCTCTAAACAGGCACTGGGTGCTTGGCTAAAATAAAGGTAACCTTTGACTAAACAGTTAATATGGCAACCCAAATTAAATAGCTGCAGAGATTCAACTTGCAGAAGTGTTTTCTGCCATATTGATCTTTCCATACACTAATATAATTAGCCAACACTCTTTCCAAATCTCACCCATCAAGATGATAATTAATAACGTCACATTTTACATGCACATAATCTCATGGATCAAGAACTAAAATTTCTTTCGTAATTCCGAAATGCCATCATGATCACACTGGGGATTTTACATCATGCTCCCATGCTACAGCCTATTTTTATGTAACATAACATTCTAAAAAGGATGATGCAAAGGCCTGCTGGCTTAACAATGTTGTATTTGCTTGGTCCTGATAGACATCTACTTTGGCTCGGGCATGTCGTGAGAATGGTTGATGGTCAGATTCCAAAAGCTATATGAAGAATTGGTGCAGGGAAATCACCCCAGAGGGAGACCACAGCTGCAATAGAAGGATATCTGCAAGCGTGATCTGAAGGCCTTAGGAATGGACCTGAACAGATGGAAAACCTTGACATCTGAGCGTTCAGCCTGGAAGCAGGCAGTGCATCATGGCCTCTCCCAATTTGAAGAGTCCCTTGTACAGCAGGCTGAGGCAAAGAGGCAGTCCCGGAAGCAGCAAAATCAGGGAGCTGGACAGGGGACGGATTGTATTTGTCTTCAGTGTGGAAGGGACTGTCACTCTTGAATTGGCCTTCTTAGCCACACTAGACGCTGTTTCAAGTCCTCCATACAGAGCACGTTACCATACCTCTGTATGGACTGAAGGATGCCTAATCTAATCTAAATCTAAAGGTTCTGGTAGAAGCATTATTCTGTACACTTTAAATTTCATTTTGATTTCTTCTTCCTGAATGCTTTGTCCCTTCCATCAGCCATCTTCTTCCTATCACAAGGCATTCCGGGACTGGTAGTTCTTGAAAGAGCTCAGGTGATTCTAAAAACGGCTCTTATTGTACAAGTGTCCTACCTTGTTCACAAAAAGGTGGGAGCCTGCTCAGATTGTGCAGGCTTCCTCTATCTCTCTACTTAACGTATTTCTTTTGTTTTCATTCATTAAAAATCAATGAATAAGGAAAACAAAACAAAACATGCTCTAACTATTAATACCCCAAAGTATCACCTGTTGCATGGTGTTATGTACCAACCTATGGCAACCCAAAGGGTGAATGTCTTCCAGTAGATCCTCTCATGAACAGCCCTGCTCACGTGTTGCAGACTAAAAGCTGTGGCTTCCTTTACTGAGTCGATCCATCTCAGACTAGCAGTTTCACTGAGGTAGTCGTGTTAGTCTGTTTCAATACACATAATAAAACTAAAAACAAAAAAGAATTGTATTGCCATAAAGACCATCAACTATTCAGCATAGCCTTTCCTGGTTTACAGTCCGCTTCCTCAGATGCATCTGAAGAGGTGGATTGCAAATCCATGAAAGTTCAGGCTGAAGTAAATTTGTTTGATTTCTAAGATGCTTTTTGTTGCTGCTGACACACATCTCCTGTTTGGTCTCCCTCTTGTCCTGCCACCTTCCTTTCCCCCCAGTATTATTGCCTTTTTCCAGTGAGTCTTAACCGGGAAAAGAAAGCGCTGGTGTGAAATGTGTATATGGTCTCCTATAGCACAGTGGCTCCACTATGTGAGAGGTTTGGCTTAGCCTGCATAGCCTGAGCCTGTGTTTGAACAGAAGAGTGGCACCTTCCATTCCAGAGAGAGGAGAACAGAGAGAGAGAGAGAGAGAGAATATGGCTTCAGCCACCCACACTGCAAGAGGCAGCCACGGTGTTGCTCAGGAAGGGTGAGGTGAGATTACCATCTTGCTGCGGATCACATGGGACTTGCACAGCACAGGCCACAAGCAGGAGAGGAAATCAGTCAGACAGAGAGGTGGCGAAGACAGAGTAGGGTGAGAAGAAGCACAGGAGGAAGCCAAGGTAATTGTGTAGAGGGCTCTGGGTCTCGGCAGAGGGGGAGCCGTGTTGTTGGGACGCCTTGCAGGAGGGTTGATGAGGAAGGGAGAGCTGAAGCAAGGGGAGCATCTCTGTGGCCCTTTGCTGCCTTAGAGCTGGGCGTTCATTGGGCTGAAGTATGGAGGGCTAAGGAGGAAGGCTAGAGGGTGATGGAATAGTGCAAGGGAAGGGTGGGTAAGAATTCAAACCCAATCTTTTTGGCTTAGCACCTGCATACCCAATGGGGCTTTCTGTCATTCCATGCTTCTGAGAGGAACTTTAGGCATCTGGGTTGGCGTCACTAGGCAAGCCCAAGTAGAAGATCCCAAAGATTTGGAGGACAAGCATGTTCTCCAGTGGAGGACTTCTTCCACTTCTCTGTTGCTTGAGAATTAAGGACATGCCCATTTGTGAGCAACCTGGTTTTAGACTTTGAGCAGGCACCTAGTAGTGCAGAAACCGTTTCCAGAATAAAAAGCCTGTTGCATTCTTGCTGCTGCTGCTGCTGCTGGTGGTTTTACACTGTTCTTCGCCATCGAACCTCAGTACTTTCCCTGTTCTGCTATGCAACACAGAGTCAGCAAAACGCAACTGACATGAAGCAAGATCTTGCACGGAGATACTCTTTTGCTCAGCAGGTGTTTTTCAGCCATGCTTCTCCTACAGTTTCAAGAACATGTGCCGGCGATGAGACTCCTACTCCCATTTCTAGCCCTAAATGAAGATTTTTTTTGTCTGCAGGAGTGAGCCTCTTGCAAACCCAGAGGGGATATGTGGTTAGCCGTCTGGCTGTAAACAACCCCCACACCAGTTGAGAGGGCAGGAAATGAAATACTGGTACCCATAATCTCTCCAGCACTCTCAACAGAAGTGAGCTCCTCTTCTCAGGAGGTTTTCAGGAGTTTCCCAGTGCATAAGAGATGTGGTAAGACAGGTTCTGTGTGCCAGGGTAGAGCCGGTTGCTCAAGAGGCCAACCCCACAATGCTCCACCCATGGATCTTTGGAGCTAGGCCATGGCCTGCAAGGTTTCGAAGAAGAGCCCGTGGTGATTTCAGAAGAGGCAAGAGAGTTCCCATGATACGACACTCCCTCGCTTTTCAGGCTTGGAAGCACTAGGTCTGCCAGTCACATCTGCAGCAGCTCTCCGGTGCAAGCTCTTTCGACGTAGGAAATGTTTGGGTATGTGACCGGAAAACAGTGTGGGGTGCAGCGGGAGTTGCCCACACGTTTTCTGTTTCTGCTGTTAAAAGCACTGGGGCCTCGGCTGGCTAGCTTTTACATGAAGCACTAGCTTGCACAGTTTAGCATCTGTCATGGGCAAAGCCCCCCCCCAGGTGTGCTCCTCGAACGGATAGTGTCAAGGTATAGATGTGTTACTGCTGCCACACAGCTCTGCCTCTGAGAAAAGGATGTTCCTTGACAGCAAAAAGCCTGTCTTCTGGGTCCTAGGGTGGATGGACAGGTAGAGGGGGAGATGGCATTCTTCCATGGCCTGGAAGGCAGGTCTTTCTTGGTCTCCTTGGTGTTCAGGAGATGGATTCCTGACCACATAGCACTGGTCGAATTGCCGAGGCAGGAAAGAGGTTAGGCTGTAGTAGGGGTTGCTACTGAGTTGGCTGCAGGTGTCGTGAAATCTTGCATGAGCTATGAGGCTCTTAATGTCATTGTTATTTAATATCCTTTTCTGAATCCCTCTCATTTTTTTCTTGCTTCACAGATGGAGGATCCCCAGAAACGTAGTTCTGGAGCAGAGGACCCATTCTTGTTGAGATCCTACAGGTGGCAAACAGTTCTACAGAATGGGGAGAAGGAGACAGAGCTGGGTCCCAATCCCCACGGGTCAGAGAGCGGTCGGCGCAGGGGCAAACTGCAGAAGTGGAAGCGAGCGCAAAGCGTGCCAGAGAGTGAACTTCCTCAGCCCAGCCATGAACAGCCACCTCCGACAGCCTCTCAAGACAGCAGAGCTGCCACTAAGAGGTCTGTGTTCCAAAGAGCTTTCAGCACTCCTGCCAAGATGCCCAAGGCCCACGAGGGAAGCAGTAAGTTGAGTCTAAGGAAGTATCTACGCTCCATGTCCCACAGGAAGAACCAGGAGAGGGCTGCCCGGTCAGAACAAGAAACCCTGGAAGTAACCAAAGGTAGGACAACGCTGAACCACAGCAGTCTTGCGATGGATCCAACAGGGATGCCACTGTGCTCAAAACTAAACCCCAAGGCAGGGCTAGTTACCATTTAAGAAACTGATAAAACTGGTAAACATATTGTTTTATTTCTACTCTTGTAGAATAGGATTGGAGGTATGTTCCGTATACCCACCATCCAACTGTATATGCAGAATGCAGTACCTGGCGTTGAAATCAGTACCCAAAGCAACACGGTGCCCTTCACATTTTTTTCCTTTTTAAAGCAAAGTTCCAGGACTTTTGGTTAATATGTGTTTTGAAAACAGGCAGGCTGTGCTATGTAAAACCCCAGCAACTGGTGTGAGGATACGGAAAGGACTGGACTTTAGTGTTCTGCAGATCTCCTTCTCTTGTACCTTCCACAAGTAGACTTTATGGAAAGATGTTTAATTTGCATACTTTATTAATGTGATGGTATTTGGATTTTTTTTTCCTGAGCTGATTCACCCCTAAACTGTTCTAAAATATGTTATTTAAAAGGAATGGAAATGTACTCTGTAAAATTAATTGGTCTGTCTTACAGTTCCAAGGCCATTCAAAAATTGCTAGTTGTTGTTGCTGTTGTTGTTAGTTTTGGTTTTATTAGTATGCCACATTTCTCCCAACAAGGGACCCAAGTTGCTGTTATAGTTCACTGTTAAAATAATTTTTCATCTTTCCATTCTCCAGAAGTAACCAAATTAGTCGGGTTTCAGTACTAAACTTATCTGTAGGTGACATGGTGATGGTACAAGACACAGAGCTTTTTTTACAGGACCTCTTTCGGAGTGGGCTATTATGGGCTTATTAGGGTCGCTTGAGGAAGGGTAGAGGCGCAACATGCGACTGTCTTTAGGAGCAAACTAGCCATCCCTGCAGCAGACCAAACAGATGCCTGAACACCCGTGGAGACAGCCTCATACTTTTCTGTTGTCCACCTGGCCATTGCTTCAATATCCACCACAGAACCCGAAGCAGAGTTTTAGTTAGGTTATTATGCTAAAGGAACTAGAGTGGGGATAGACATTCTGGATGTTGTGCTTGTGAGACGGTGCCTTAGTGTTCCCCAAGATCTCAAAAGCTCTATTCCTCTCTTCCTGCTCATTTCAGGAAATAATAGTATCCAAACATTACAAAATTCCACACATCCCTTAGAGCAGTGGTCCCCAACCTTGGGCCTCCAGGTGTTCTGACTTCAGCTGCCAGAAATTCTGGCCAGCAGAGGTGGTGGTGAAGGCTTTTGGGAGTTGTAGTCCAAGAACATCTGGAGGCCCAAGGTTGGGGACCACTGCCTTAGAGGGCTCTTTTCAAGCCCTAAATCTTTTTTTCCTGAAAACCTTTTTGACATTTGTTGAGGTTATGGGGGCCCTGTCAGGGAGAGTTGCTACATTTTGACCTCCAATGTTTGCACGCAGCCTGTGGACTAGATGTCGCTCACCTTTGGTGTCTAAATCAATACCTTTGGTTCCAAACAGATTTGCTGCTGGGCGAGTTCAGCTAAAAGAGTTGATTACAGGCCAGGAACAGAGAGGCAGCCTTAGACTGGCTCAGATCATGGGGGTCCATCTAGCCTGGTATTGTCCACTCTGGCTGGCAGCAATGATCCTCCATAGTTTCAGGCAGAATTCTTTCTCAGTCTAAGCTGGAGATTCCTGGGATTCCCTTGTGCTGTTCTGTCCATGACTAACCAGGTGTGACCACAGTGAGCTTCCAAAACTAGATGAGGTGGTGTATTTAGGGTAGGATGGTGATCCTGGCCTGTTGAGACCTTTACTGATGTCAACAGAACTCTTGATCTCTAATATCTTTAGTTTTTATGGAGTGTGGTCTCTCTGGTTCAGTTCAGCTCTTGAGCTGCAAATGAAACTCCAGTTGCCTCTGACTGTTTCTACCATCAATGAATAATATCTGGGAGAACCCTTCAGGGTGCTTGGGGGGAAAGACCTGACCTTCACAATTTATTTATTTATTTTATTTATTTCATTTATATCCTGCCTATCTGATCGGGTCAGGACCACTCTAGGCGGCTAACAATCATAAAAATACAATGAAAATATATACACAATTTAAATAATAAAAGCAATACATAGAGTGGGAGAAACAATAAAAATAAAGAAAGAAGAGAGGAAAGGCGTCAGGAATTATTTGATGGGAAGGCCTGCCGAAACATCCATGTCTTTAATTGTTTCTTAAAGATACCCAGCGAGGGAGCCCCACGAATCTCAGGAGGTAGATTGTTCCAGAGGCGAGGAGCCACCGCCGAGAAGGCCCGATTTCTTGTCTTTTCCTTCAGGGCCTCTCTCGGTGTTAGACTCCTCAGCCTCACCCTAGACCTTGGTGGGAGTAGGCGTTCCGCCAAGTATCGAGGCCCTAAACCGTTTAGGGCTTTG